TGCCCCTCCCCTCCCAAACCCCGTCACACTCCAGAAACTCTGAAATTTTGGCAGAGGCCTCCATTTCACAGGGTTTGTCCGGGTCTCTCACAGTCCCACCCCACCCTCCCAACCCTTTAACAAAAAAGCCACCATAATCAGTCCCACAGTACCTCCTTTATAAAAACAAGGCTTTTTTTTTTAATTTATTTTTCCTCTGTTCCTCCCACTCCCCTAAGCAAAGTCAAGTGCCACTGAGGATGTCACTGTGCCACAGCCCTCCACTGGCCTCTTTCCACAGTCACCATGGATCCGAGTCCGACACAGCGGGCTGAGCCCACTGCCTCGGGACAACAAATTTAACCCCCTCCCCAAGCAGCAGCCCTGACTTGCCCTTCCATGCCATGCCAGGGCACAGGGGCCCAGCAGGGCACCCCGGCAGCAAGGAATGCCAGCCTCGGGCCCCCTCTCTGCACTGGAAATCCAGCCCCACAAAGCCAGCAACACGCACAAAGAAACAGCTCTGGGCACAGCGATGCCACCAAAACTGGCATGACGTGCTCCAGCCACCACCCTGCAGCCCTCCCCAGGGCTAATGGCAATTGCAGACGACCCCCAGCTCCTGGAAACAAGGGTACAAAAACATGCCCCTCAATAGCCTAATGTTTGAAGCCTTTTTCTGACTGAAAACAGATCCTTGCCATGTGACCGGCTCTTCCTCGGTTTAAAGAGCCCTTGTTTGTATGGTGAATTAGTCAATTAATTACTGTAACAGTCGCTTGTCTGGCTGCTTGAAAATTACCTAATTTCTTAGCCATCTTGCCCGTTCACCCCCCGCCCCGCCGCATGCTGAAGCAATTACAGCCGAGCCCCTGCCAGGCCGACCAGGGCAGCGCATGGCAGCTCCCCAGGACCCCCACAGCCCCCTCTGAACGCTCTCTGCTGCCTGCCCGCCTTTAAACTGCTCCCCTTTTGCAGGAAATCTCAAAAAGTCAACAATTTGGGTGCGAGCAGAGCATCCTGTAGCGGGCAGGGGAGTGAGGCGTGCTAAGCCGCAGGCACAAGTTGGGGCAATCCTCAGTTATAATGGAGGTGGTGGGAAGGGGTTCTTTAAAGCTATTTTTGGCAGGTGGCAGAGAGCAGTGAGTGGTACATCCATCCCAGAACTTCCTTCTGACTCCTCTGAGAGCAGGCAAGATATTTGATTTCATGAGGAGTTCCAGGCACTGCTGGGATAAAAGCTTTCCTGAGCCTGAGCTCTCCCTCTGACATTATACCTGTACCTTAAAATGTATGGGACGGAAAAAAAAGAAAAGACAGACGCAATGCAATTCAGCAAGGAGCTCCGCTTCACAACTAAAAGTTCAGTGCTGCTCATATTATAGCACAGTCTAGAACTTCCAAAGGTACAAATCAAGCTGGAAAGAGCATTAAAATGCTTACACTTGTTAATTCACACCCAACTGAGCATCTTTTAAAAGGCACATGAGAAGGATATTTAGGTCCATCCTCCACTATTCTGGGTCAGCTCTGGTTAAGCAGCTCCAGCATCGATCATGGCCCAACAACTGGTCAAAACCTTCTCTGACCTAAGTGCAATTTTCCTATATCAGCCTCCTGTCATGTCAGAAGTGGTTCTCTCACCTCATTTTCTTTCTTGGCTCCCAAGCACCAGTTGCCAATGCAGAGGAGACAGCCAAGCTTGGTATTTGTCTGGGATTTCCCTCTCATCTTTCCCCTCCTCCACATAAAGGAACAAAAATGTACACAAAAAAAAGCCCCAAAACAAAACAGCCAGGGTCAAGAAATTTAAACTTTCAAGTCTTTCTCCTCCCCAGGCCTCCCCTTTGATGACACAAACCTGCTGCCTCTTGATGCTGAGGCAGAGGAGGAGGGGGGCCACCCGTATAAAATATTTACAGTCCAGTTGCCAGGCTGGTGTCAAGCTGAAATGGAGCCTGCTCAAAAATAACACAGCTCTCCAGAGCTTTCAGTGAAAGGCACTTTAGAAAATAAAAGGTGAGTTGTTCGGAGAGGAATTTTAGTACAGTTACTACTTCTTTGTTACAAAATGGCTTGAAAAACCCAAGAGTCAAGCAACCATCACTTTCATGGATCCCATGATCCATACGACCCGAGGAAACCCCAGAAAGAACCACAGGGCTTATGTCACAGCAGCACCCTCCAACCCCATCTATCAAAAAAGGTGTGACAAAGGACAGACCCCAGAGTGTTATCATTTGAGGGAGCTGCCAAAGTGGATGAGAGAAAGTGATGTCCCGTGCTAGCCCCCACCACCTGAGCCTCCGTCAGCGCAGAACTACTATTTCAGAGCACGTGAGTTCATAGGGTTTCATCCCACACAGACTTAAGCTTTTATGGAAAAACAGCTTCTCAAAGACACACAGAAAAAAACCCAAACAACTGCCTAAATCCAGGAAGAGAGAAAAGTGTAGGGTAAATACAGCTATTACTTTATCACAATCTCAGTAACACAAAACAGAGCATCCAGATAAGCTACGAAGTTTACAGCCTTTGGTTTGCAGGCATTTTCTTAAAAACAAGGTAAAATGAAAGGTTTTCAATATATATCATGCTCATTACTCACATACAGAGACACACACAGAGCTTTGAGCTTCATCTGTAACGCTCAGGAATCACAGGCACCGTGTTTGAAGCATCATGGGAGGTTTCAGGTCTTATCAATGCATCTATTATTCGGGGCAATCTCTCTCCCTGAGGGTGACTTGGTTTGCCCAGCACAGCGTGCACAGCAAAACACTGACTTGCTCTTAAGACATGCCAGAGCATGATGCTTACTTCATGAATGTTTGTAAAGTGCTTAAAAAAAACCCCAACAAAACTCAAAAAGGAGATGCTCTGGCAGTACAGATGTGGTTCTCTTTGTGAAATGCAGTTTATTTCAGCGGTCTGTGGTTTAGCTATTATGCAAAAGGAACTAAGATTGGTGGATAGGGCTTTTAATAGAGCTTCTCCCTCACACTTTCCAGAGCCTGCCTTCCAGGCTCCACTCCAGCCTCCCTTTTCTGAACTGCTCCCTTTGCCTCCTACTCACTCCTCTGCTCTCTCCCTTTTCCCTAACCCTGCCCTTCTGACACAGCAAGCAGCTCTTATCTGTACCATTACTTTACAGGCTGCACTGCTTACCTCCCCTGAACCCTGACATCTTTTTTTAGCAGGGCTATGCACTTTGCACGAGCGAGCTCTCGACCTGAGGAATCAGAAGCCACACATTCAGGTTTCGCATGCTGCTCCCTCAAGTCACATGCCTCCAGGCACTTCCACAAATAAAAGCTACTGCTAAGCCACAATCATGTCAGGATAATTCTAAAGTCTCATGGGATCAGGGCTGCAATTCTCTTCTTTAAGCAGAGTAATTTAAGGCTTTCCTCAGTTTAAAGAGAAGTTGAGAAAACAGATCCTACAGACCTGGATCACTTTCTCTCCCCTCCCTGACTGCTCTCTAGGACCATCACCACGAACTGATTTCGGACCACTGCGGTCACTCCTGATGCATATTGCTCATATAATCAAGATCTGCAGGGTAAGCAGGGGAGCATGGGGCAATGAGGCCAAGGGGGAGATGCTACATTAATCCCCCTATGGTCTAATCGTGCAGGCACGAGCCAGGCAGAACTCCCACCGCAGCACACCCTTTTGCCCATTTAAGAATCACAGGATCCGGCCCCTCCACAAGTCCCTGAGCCAACATTTAATCAAAACAGACAGAGGACAAGAGAAAATGCATGATATACACAGAGCGCAGCATTGTTTCTGAAAGGAAATGTTTTTACAGTTTCCCATGAGGCATCAGTAGCTCTTCAAACAGAACCCAAACCTCAACTATGCCAGCGATTCAACATTCAAACGCGAGCTCATTACCTCAACCCACCACTTGCAATTTTAGTTACTTTCATTTTTCAAAACCCAAAATCAGAGCTCCGGGAATCACTGTGAAGAGCTGACAAGCACAGCCCCTCTGCGAGTGTAACTGCTGAGCATTTACACAAACCAGGAGCCAGGAAATCCTGCGATTCCCCAAACGAGGTTTCTTTCACCAGCAAGGAGGGGGGGGTCTGGCACAGCCACTCAGACCCTCACCAGCTCCTTCTCTTCTACTACAAGGAAGACAGCTCTGCTGTTTTAGCCTCTCCTAGCAAACTTCAGGCAGAACTTGTCCTGGTTCCAAAAAGAGCACAAACGTCTGAGAGAGGAGGAGACACAGTTAAGTGCTTTGTTATCCACTACACTACACCTTTGTTTCCTGGGAGATTTGGGTTAGGCTGGCATCAGGTATCACCATCCCAGCTGTTCTGCCTTGCTTCAGGGATAGCTCTGCTGTTTTAGCCTCTCCTAGCAAACTTCAGGCAGAACTTGTCCTGGTTCCAAAAAGAGCACAAACGTCTGAGAGAGGAGGAGACACAGTTAAGTGCTTTGTTATCCACTACACTACACCTTTGTTTCCTGGGAGATTTGGGTTAGGCTGGCATCAGGTATCACCATCCCAGCTGTTCTGCCTTGCTTCAGGGTTATCCTTTCAGCAAGGAGCTTTGTGTGTGTGTTCAGGTGTGTTAGCTGAACTGCTCCCTCAAAGCATTGCACAAGACCGAGGGAGACAAACTCCAATGATTTCCAATAACAGTTATGCAGTTTTAATTGGGATGCTGTGTTCTGCTAATTGATTTGTTTAAACAGAAACCCACCAAAAAACAACACAGATACAACATGGAGAAGAAAATCCTCCACACCAAGCCGGATCTGCTCATTCAAGTCAGCTAAGGGAAGGTAACGTCTTAGGAAACTATATACAATTTCCTTGCGGACCACAAGCTGCACGGCAAAACACAATTAAAACCTTTGAAAGAATACTTACACTTCCTGCAGGTTCGACAGCTCTGCAAAGGCAGAAGGATCAATCTCGGACAACTTGTTGTAGCTCAGGTTTCTGTTAAGACAAATGACAGTAGGCTCAGCACACTGCAGTTACCGTGTTCAGCAAAAGTCATCTTAATTATTCCGGATTGCACTGGGAGGGAGGGTGGTGGCTGGTCTTTTTAACAAGAGCACTTAAAACATGGCAGAGCAGTATTTTTGCTGAATACATGAATGAGTGTAGTTCCATGATCAAAATGTTATCTAGCTCTCCCTAAGCTATTTTTCCTCTTTTGCATTAGTGTGGTTTTAATTTGTCTTTATATTACACAGTTACATTTATTATTCTTCTATTGGTTATTCACAACCACAAAACTAATCACAGATGAATAGGATATTTCCTGACAAATTAAAGTCTGAACTGAACCAATCAACAAACCTTCTGCTAAATATTTTATGGCTATAGTCACACAGTATTTTACACACCACTGTGCTACATACAAAAATATACACACACAGGTATGTACATAAAATATATTCCACATTTTCTAGTGAGGTTATTAGCATATCACTTTTTTATTTTTTAAATCAGTGGTTACAGCTTTCAGCCAGTGACATAGCAGTACACACTCTGGTCCTCAACAATCCCAACCAACACTTTTCAACTACCCAACACTCCGATTCTAGATCATATTCTAGCACTTCCCTATGAATGCTGAATTATCTGAAACAGCCTGATGGGAGAGCAGACCTGCCTTGCAGGACATCCCTGTTTGGAAATGCCAGCTAGAGCTCAGTGTGCCTCTGGAAGGACCCCATAGCAAACAGCAAAGTAATGCAAATTAAGTGCCAATCCCAAAAATTACAAGCAAAAGCTTTCCCGTGCTCGGCCATAGCGTCATCCGGTGTGACAACGGAGTCTCCTCTCCAAGGCATGCACCATCAGCACATCGCACAGGACAGGTCAAACCTGCAGCTAGGGACTTACTGGGAGAGCACAGATCAATTAAGACTAAGTGACTAACCATGCAGAAATTAATGAACGGCCTAATTAAGACGATGTATGCAGTGCTGGCATATTCCTGTGTGTAATCTAAAGAGAGAGGAGGAAAATTGATGGGTGGTAGCAGAAAAGCAACCACAATAAGTTGCAAGGAAATTGTGAGGGGACCTACTTTAATTTTACCCCGCTCCACACCCTGCTCTAGGATATTATCCTGGGTAAAATTCAACCCTCCTGTCTCTTCTGCAGGGAGGTTACACCCTCTTACTGCACCCGAAAGATTCACGGCTTGATTTTAGATAAGTCCTCAAACATTCAGCTGCTTATTCAAACCACCAAGCCAGTCCGACTAGAAAACTGGCTGATGATCTTCCCTGTGTTACGTATTTTCTTTGTTTTAAAGCTGTGCCAACAGAACCCAAGCAGATCTGGAGCCGTAACAGGTAAACAGGACCTAAAGTCACTGAGGCACCTACTGAACTTTTTACCTGTGCTACATGACCCAAGAGCCAAGGGACACAAAAAATAAAGGCAGCTGCCAGAATAACATAGAAGGAGGCCTCTCATTTGAGTTGCTCGTGCTAACCCACTGGGTACGTGGTAATGCAAAGAGAAATCCAGGCCCATAGCAACAAACACCGAGATCTGAAAGACTACAAAGCTTACCAACTTTACATGATTAGCAGGCAGCGATAAACACCTCTTCCAAGCTAAAAAGCAATTATTGATCACCTGTCCTCCTAGAACGCATTTATGGAAAGTCCACGCAGTGCTCCCCTGCGCGCAGGACCCACCCGATAGTTCTCACACACGCGCCGTTCTCCATCATTTCAGAGCAGGCAGCTCTGAGGACTGCATCTTGCCTGAAAGGTTGCATTTTTTGGCCAATACCTGCTGTGAAAGAAGGGTCTACAAATCGACAACACAGGCTAGCTCTTAACAGAATTCAGACCTGAAGCTATGCTAGAGTGTAAAACCTAACCAAGCATCTAGTTTTAAAATATACTGTCCTGTAAGCCCCTACTGTCTTTTAAAACACTCAAGAGACCTTTAAATCAATACCAGCGTACAGCAGATATCCATTTCAGTATGAACTCAAAGGCATTTATCTAAATAAAAGTCAAACTGCAGTTTAAACTCAGGAGTGCATTTGAAAGCCAAGTCCATATTCATAGCACAATTACGAATTAAAGTGCAATTTGCCCACAGATTACATTACTACTTTTTTTTTTTTTAAAAACAACCACACAGCAAGATCAGGTTGGAGCTTGTCCCTGTCTAATGTACAGGCAAAAAGAGAAAATACAACAGGTAATGTCCTACAGGCTCAACACAATAAAGATAAAGCCGATGAAGAAACACTAGTGACAAACTGCAAAGGGGAAATACAACCACGGTCACGACCGTGCATGAATCCATTTGTTTTCATGTGTTTCTATGCCTTCTACTGCTGCAAATCTTTCCATTTCTCAATGTATTTATCCTGAGAACTCTCCTCTGCAACAGCCTATGAGGCTTTTTTTACAGGCACCAAAACTGACCATCCCTACCCTTGTCAAAGGGATGAGATCCCTGGCTCAGTCAGTATTCGAGCATTAAGGGATGCTGACACAAAACTCACAAGTTCACAAGTAAAAAGGGTTTGATGGCCACAGTCTAACATCATCCAAAGTGACTTTTTGATTATTGCTGCCACTCAAGAAGTCTGAACACCAAAGTCACTGCACAAGTAGCTGTGTCTCCAGACAGCAGAGGCTTATTCTGCCTACTCCAGCAATAAGACTTCCCAATAGCTGCTGCAGGAATACAGATGAACTCCACCGTCTTGTTTGCCAAACTCTTCAGTTCTCCACAAGCTACCCACTGCCACTGCCAGCTAGCCACTCCCAATGCACAACACACTGCTCAAAAACCAGTGGGGAAATGAAAGCTAGAAATACAGAGTCAGTGCAAGATTTTAAATTAAATAGAAACACCAAAATAAACAGTTTACTCAATTTCTGAGACAGTATTTTAACTTACATTAAAATGCGCAAGAATTTCTAGCCTGAAGCATTAGCAATCAAAGGCTAAACTCGGATCCCCTCACTAGAGCGTCTTTGGCATGCTAGTCACAGCATTCAAACGGGAGAAAGAATTAACGTGCTCCAATAGATAGATCATTGGGACCGGGAGGCAGGAAACCTCCATCTATTCCTGGCTCTCCTAATCTCCTGCTGGGTGACCGGGTCATGTCACATCACCTCTTCAGAGCTTTTGTTTCCACAGCCACCCTTTGTCTGTCTTGTCTATTTAGACTGTAAATAAAATGGAGGTAGGTATTGTCTCGGTTTGCCCAACGATGATGAAATGAGGCCTCGATCTTGGCTGAGCTCCAGTAATGCAAATAAAGACGGGAACTCAAATCTTGAGGTCACGGGTGCATACGATGCTCTCCCACCACTAAGCACAGGTCCCAAACGTACGGCAACACATGGAGGCTGCGGTGCCGTAACATCCCCATCAGCTTGGCCTCTCCAAACTGAGCAGACCAGCAATGGGGGCTGGTTGGAGATGCCAAATTTGGGGACACAGCTGTCCCACTGCTGAAAACTGTCCCATTTCTGCTCTCCAGTAACACAGAAGATTTCCCTTCTCAAGAAGCCCCTCAGTCTGATGCCATGCTGTAGAGCAATGCTACTGAGGAAATGTTTCTGCCATCGGGATTCTAAAATGTCTTCTTCAAAGAAAAAAAGCTCTCAAAACCCAAAGCTGAAACCTTGTCCTTTCCCAAATGAGCACTTCCCTAAACCATCTGAGCCACCTCAGGCGCTGGGCATCTCTTCAAATCGGCAGTTTATAAAGCACAACCTACGGTGTTCTATGTCAGTCCCAAGAGACCACATCTCTGGTGTGCTGTCAGCTCATTCCCTCGCACCTGCATCTACACGTGGGGTTTAGCCAAGCCCGAGTGTGGGCACACCCATGGGATACCCATGCAGAAAGCAGACTGCCGACTGTCCTGCCCGCTCCTCTGCTGGGGTACATGATTCTGGTGACTTACTCATGGGAGAATATTTTGATCCAAGGCAACTGTGGAAAGGAAACAGAATTCAGACAACCAACAAAAATCCTGGACAAGAGCCTGGGATGTAAATTCAGGGAAGCATCCCACTAAGGTCAGAAGTTTCTACAGATATCAGAGGAAACAGAGCAGACCCACCAACCTGAGTGGCCCCTGATATTCAGACTGTTATTTTCTCTGTTGAATAGAAGCTGATCTGAAGCTGTAGGGGGTTTTTGAAACTTTATTTTGACTTACTGGCATGAGAAGCAGTCTGCACATTATTTATCCATTACATACTTCAAGTCTTCCTTGTGTTGGCTAATCCAACAATGTAGGGTTTTTCCCCTCCTGTCACTAAGATGTCAATGATCAGGAACCAAGAGTCTGTTAAACCAATATGGGGGAGGCCCTGGTCTGTCTATTCATCCATTCCAGTCTCTAAATAAGAAAGCAGTGTTTGCCTTTCGTTAGCATTGTGAAAATGGCGCTGTGGATCACTGAACATGGCAGAGACTGAACGGAAAGCCTAGTTAAGTAACCAGGTACACAGCCTACCTTGAAATCACCTCCCGAAAGTAATCATGCTGTCAGATGGAAGTACTGCTTGCCAGAGAGGAGGGATCAGAGTCAGCTCTTTGAACCATAAGATGCCAGTCCTGCCTCCTTAGGCAAGTTGCTGGGTGGACAGCGAGTACATGTAGAAGCTGTGGCTCTGCTTTGGGAATTTGACCAGTGTGGAGAAAGCCACCTCTTTTCAAAACAGGTGCCTGGATTGCTCACCAGACAAAGGAATAGAGACATACATGGCTCCTGGTCACCGCTCACCATATGATAGCCGAATTCTGTTCATCGAGGTGAAGGTTTCCGACCCTTACATCAAAATCATTTATCTGTCAGTGCAGAAGATTATGTCAAAAGCGTTTCTGCACCTTTTGATGACAGGCATTGGAGAAAAAGGAGGAAGGCTTGAAGTTCTGCCACTGCCAACTGTGGCTTTCATTAAACACTTTGTCAACCATTATCA